CCACCAAAAAAAAAAAAAAACAAAAACAAAACAACAGACCCAAAAACAACAAACTCAACTGAAGCACATGCAACCTTCAAAATGGCAGAGAAGACCTTGAATGGAGAACTCTTAGACTAGAGAAAGAAAGCAGTTAAAGAACTGCAGAAATGTTGTATATATTTATGTAGGCGTATGTGCATATGTTTAAATCTCCTGGTTTTGAAAGATTGAGGCCAGAAGCATCGTAGCATTGTGCTCCTCCAGAATTAGGGCTCAGTTCTAGTTAGTCACAGACTTCCAAAATCGATCCATTACTGTTGTAGCACTTGAGTAATTTTAGTTTTGTAAGTACGGAATCAATTACATGGGAAGACATGGCTGTAGCACTCAGAGGAGAGACTATTTAACACTACATCTTGCTGTATTTATTTTATGATTCTTTGGATAGATATGCTAAAATATGTCTAAACCACAGAGTGTGTTGGGTGATGTGGCATTTCTGAGCTCGGTTAAATAATGAGATGTGTTTCATTCAAATCAGAATAACGTTAAGCCCTGAATACTAAATAGGGCAGCAAAAAGCCTTCAGCACACAAAATAAACAAGTAAAAAACCCAAATGAAACTGTCTAATAAATACAACGTGGAGCAACAGGCTGCATGCACTAGAGGAATTAAGCCAATTTAAACCGTATGGGCAGTGCTCCACTTTCAGATGTGCTCGGTGTCCAGCAGTTCCAATGGCAGTTGGATGCACACATCAAAGGGCAGAGCCTGGCTCAGAGCACCAGCATGGATTTGATAGCATAGGTTTATGACCTTGTAATCCTAGACCATCTAAAACAGTAAGAATTCCATCCAGCTTAAAATAGCTGCTGTAGCTGCTGTTGATACAGTCTTGTGGGCTCCCCGGCTCTGGGGCCAAATTTGGTGCTGGCGTGGTGGGAGGAAGTCTGTTGACAGCTGATAGCAGTGGAGTTGCACTTGATTACATCATAAGAAATCTGGCACGTGGAGCTGAATCAGAACTCTGAGCAAAAATGTCCATTCTTCATCCCGAGTTAAAACGGACTTGTCCATTGCCAGTCGGCGGAGGTTTGTGTGGCCCATCTGTAACTGTTGCTTTTAAGGGTCCTGCACTAAAAGTACATTCAGCCCCCAGTTCCACTCAGCGTGGTGACTGAAAAAAAAAAAGCCATGAAGGACTGGATTTTACTCTCATGTCCAAAAGGATAAAGCCTCTAATCCTACCAGTATAAGCATGATGAGCATAAGTCCTATGGTAGCTGATGAACTTGGCTGTGTCTGGGTCACAACAGAGGATGAGAAAAGAAAAGTGGTCTTAACTCTAATTGCTGGGGTCATCCAGTGGCCAAGCATGCCCAAAGTCAAACAGACAACTCTGTGGATACTCTCCTTCAGAGGAGCCGCCGCAGGTCCCAGTGCACTGGTCTGGCTCCTGGCACCTGGTGAGGTATTCATGAACTGCTGCAGGTACATCCCCTCCTCCTCTCCTTGGGCTTTACACTGTAAGACTCAGAGTGGAGGTTTTACTAATACTCCAAAGTAATTCCTCAAAGTATTAAAAAAATTAGATTATTTTATTTTAATTTCAGCTACTGCAAAAATTGCTCTAATACTGTGTTCTTTGTTTTTATTAAAATACTAAGTTGCTGAAGTGATTTTCATGAAAATTAATTAAAACAAATTAATGAAAGGCAGCTGAAAAGTGGATTCCTCTGCTGAAACTGTGGTATGCAAACTCAACCTCAATCACATATTTGTGGTTCCTCTACAAACACCTAAGTGTATAGCAGTGATTTGTCACGTTTGGGTTTTTTAATGGCAATTCTTAGAAAGTGAGTGTATACTACATAGTACATTTTCCCTCACTTTACATACAGCTAGATGTAATACATGTGCTTACCTGCTCCATTTAGTAGTATTACTAATCTGTAGTTAAGTCTTTGCTCTTCAGTATTGGGAAAGAAATGAAAAGATGCTATAAGACTCAGGCTTTCTCCATCATCTTTTCTGCTTGTAGGGAACAGGAGGGCAGGAGGAGTCTTTATTATGGGATTAATACCAACCTGGGGCAGGGCTTGTACACTGTAGAATGCAGTGGCTGAGGAGGAGCTGTCCTCTCTGCAAACTGGATCCATCTGGGATCTTTGGATCATTTGGAGGTGTGTTGGGTAGGTTCTGCATATGTGCAGAACTCTGGCAGGTGTGCAAAATGTATTTGCAGTTTGGATGAGCTGCTTACAGCAGCCTACAGAAAACAGGGCTTAGCCCCTCCTGTACAATAAATATCACACTTGCATTCTAGAACACGTCAATGTATTGGTTCCCTGTGTATGTTTATTATTATTTTCCTCGTATTTTTTGTTCCCTTTCCATGCAAAGATATGGCAGGGATTTGTTTGCTTTCTGTTATTTTCAGAAACTCTGGTAATATGATGAAGGTCATGTTATTAAAAGTAGAATGTAATAGTTGTGCACGTTGGAGGACAAATGTGGGGAGGTTCAGTGGGCCTTGTAAAGAATTCCTTACATAACGTTCAACTTTGGAAGGTCCGCTCGGTCTCCTTGGAGAAGTGTCAGCTCTGCCAGCGGGTTGCTCCCTGGAGAGAGTAACCAAAAGTTTTCATTATTGTCCTTCACTATGAAAATGAGCTGACTGCTTTCTCCAGTGTGTCTTGCCCAAGCAGAGCTTTGAGCCCTTTGGGACCGGGGAGCTCAGTGGAGGCAGTTGGCTTGAACAGATTTTAGTTACTGAGCTCCCTCTTGGGATTGGTGTGAAAAAAACCCCACATTTTTTGCTCAGGAACTTTTGTGTAGAAGTCCTCCATGAACTAAAGACGTCAAAACAGAAAGACCTCCACATGGTCTACCCACTGACATTTTTATGCCCATAACCATTTGGAACAAAAATAAAAATAAATAAAAAAAAAAAAATTAAAAATCAAAGAGCTTAATAAAACCAACAGTTATTTTCTCCAAGGAATGCTAACAATTCCAACAATTGCCATTAAGTGTAAACAGTTCCTGAGACTGTGCATGCTAGACCAAATTCATCCTTGGTATAACTCCTCAGAACTCAGTGGACTTACATAAGGGATTAATTTGGTCCATTGCTCTCAGCCATCAGTTTTAGAGAATACACAACAACCAAGGGAACTATTGTCAACATTACTTTATGACTCTTTAGTGCTGCTCAGTATTTGTACTTTACAGATACACAAGCAGGGTGAGTGTGTGGAGTGAAGTTACGGGTTCAGTATTGAAGGCAGTGGATTTTTCAAAGATATTTTTGTTCAGTTGAAAGTAATAAGGATTCCAGCATTCACAACCATGATTGCTGTGAATCTTACGTAGATACCTGAATAGAGCTGCACAGATTCTTGAAACATGCACAGGCATTTCATCCGGCAGACCACAAAACATTTCACAAAGCATAGAAAATATTTGCAAAGTTTTAAGTTCTGTTATCACACAACAGACTGATTATCACAGTGTTCACATGAAATTTAACTACACTTCCAAAAGCTAACTTTTGAGTCAGTCACAAAACACAAGATCTCTAAAGTACTTTTCTGTTTTCTCCCAACCTAAATTGTTTCTGTAATTTTCAGAATAAACTGAGGAAAGCATCAGCCGGTAAATGTGAACTATTGGGCCGTGAATCTGCATCTGTACGTAAATCAAATACATTAGTTCACATCAGAAGGTGTAGAAAACTACCTAAATCTACAGGACATATACAGGATCATTGAATTAAGTTTAAACTATGACTGAAACAGATGTGCTAACAACACCTTTTAAAGGTCTGTACACTGGAAAGTGAGTGATCAAAACAACATTTTTTACTTGTCATTCATAAGACAGCAATCCTCTTTCCTGGTTTGATAAACCAGGTTTGCACTGATTTCTTGGTTACAAAGCAAGATACAAACTTGTGGGTTCCCTCCCTGCACAGTGCTGTGAGTTTTTCCATAGCAGTAGGATTAGTATATTGACTTGTTTGTATTTATTCTTGTCTGTTAAGGAGGCATGTTTGGACAGGAAAGGAAAAGTTTTTGTCTTTGCAACCTACTAAAGTTTTGGGTCACCCAGAGAAATGAATGAAGTTGCTCTGAACTGTACTGGGTACAGAACTAGTGACAGTCCTCCTTTTGCACCAGTTCTCTGGATCTTTCTGTTTCTATGTTCTCAGAGCATGCATTACAAGAAGATTGATTTTTTTAGTATTTGGGGGCTTTGGCTGAGTAAGGACTCATCGGTATTTCACGACAACTGCAGATATCTTCAAACTATGGGATCTTGGATCACTTCCCCTGCTCCTGTGTTCAAGCTCTTTCTCAACCTATTACTGAACTCGACACTCCGGCAGTACTTTTGAGGTTTCCTCATTTTACACCTGTGTCTTACTGCTGTGTTTTGTGCTAAGGAAAGGCCAAGGACACAGGCCAGAAGCATCCCAGAGCTTGCTCTAGCTGGGCTGTCTCTGACCTGAACAACAGAGGTAGCCAAGAGCTGCAGCTGCACCTTCAGTCCTGAATAGTTTCTCAGTGTGGCAACTCCTGCATGGATATATAGCCATGCCCGGCTCTTCTCAAGTAGCTAAACTTGAAGCATTTCCAGAGTAAGGGTGACATAGCTGAGAGCAATAATCATTTCCCTTAGCTAAAATGATTCATTAGTGTTAAAATGTCAGGACCATTAAAATGCAAGTGAGCCTTTTAAAATTTGAGGACAATGGGCCTTATCCTGGAAGAGATTTGAGATAATTGCACGAATTCCAGTACCATTACCCACAAAAAATTTACTCGTGCAAGTAAAGGTTTGTTGGCTGGACCTCCAATTTTTGTTAGCAATCCTTTATTGTTGTAATTACACCTAGTGGCTTATCTAATAGAGTCATATTCTTATAAAGAATTAATTCTACTTCTAGCAAGAGTGAAATAGTAAGTAAAATTAAATTGAAATTTGACCAAGCTCTTCTTTTTTATTTCCTAGTATCTGAATTACAGGAAGAAGGAATGAATGCCATTAACTTGCCTCTCAGTCCAATTCCATTTGAACTAGACCCTGAGGACACTATGCTAGGTAATTCACAACAATTTTACATCTCAACATAAAAGCTTGATGTAAAATAAAGTGTCATGCTGTAATAGCTACTAATATCTTTCTTTTAAACCTTCCAGAGGAAAATGAAGTCCGAACAATGGTTGATCCAAATTCAAGAAATGACCCAAAATTACAAGAACTAATGAAGGTAATGAAAAGCATGTCAACACTCTCAGGAAAGTGAAACTATTTTTTTAATGCTACCCCTGCCTCTTTCATTTGAACACTTCAAAGCATTGGTTAGATATTAATTAAATGGAACCATGTGGTGTGCACATTCCAGTGAAATGGGCAGGTCATTTGCTGCAGAATCTTTCTGTAAATGTGACACAGAGAGACTCGAGAATTTCAATGAAAATCCCAAGTCCACATTCTCAGTGCCATCCCATCACCAACATAAGATCACACTGGCTTTCCGTCGTCTTTTTGATTCTTGAGGTTAGAACTTTAGCAGGATGCCTCATTAGATTCAACTTCAGAACCTTTTGCTTCACAATAAAATGTTAAAATGCAACTGAAAGCAAGAGAAACATTTCACTCCAGAAGGCACTGAATGAATTGGTATTTGTCTAGACCTTGTGGTACATTGACACAGCCGCCTTAGAAGGGTCTTTCCTGAGTCTTTCCCGTTTGCTTCCCATGGTGTTTCAGGCTGTATTTTGAGCCATTGCAATTTGGTATCCTTTCTACTAAGTATTTTCATCACTGTACAGAATGACATGTGTTTTAAATTGCAAATGAATAGTGTATAATACTGCCAAATTGTGTTTCCCATATAGGTATTAATTGACTGGATTAATGATGTGTTGGTAGGAGAGAGGATTATTGTGAAAGACTTGGCTGAAGACCTGTATGATGGACAAGTTTTGCAGAAATTATTTGGTAAGAAAAAAATATACGTGCACGCTGTTAAGGCACTTTGTCAATAAGTGGATCTCTTATTCCTACTTAGGAGCCTCGGTATCATCTTACATTTATGCCACTAAGTGATATAAAAATAGCATTGTATTATGAGGCCCTTGAGCAATAGGCTGCATGCACAATCCTCAGAGCTGCAGTGCAATGTGTGGTGCTCTGCAGTTGATGAGAACAGCATAAAGCCTACCTGGGGTGCTAGAGAGGGAGGGTTCTTGTCTTGGCAACAGTATTCACTCCAATTAGATTTATTATCTGCATATGTGCTGCACAAACTTAACCGTGTTACAAGTGGAAAGTAAATTTGAAGGAAAGGGTATTTTCAGTACAACGGTGGATGTTTTTAATCTCTGCTCATTCCATACTGTAGTTTATTCACATTGCGAAGTTCCTCTGGAAAGTTGGAATTTCTCTCAGATTTGATGTCTGGCTTTTAACGTTGCTGAGGTAATGGTGCCCAGTGGACTGCAAACTGAGCTTCAGCTGAGAAACAGATAAAGAAAAGAAACTGCTAATGCAGAGCTGGCATGTGCTTTTTACAGTGCTGGCTTGGAAGCCATTTTCATAGTTATTACAGCTCATAAAGTCTCCAGTAAATTTCTTTTCAGTATCTAAAATGAATCTTGAAACATCATGTGAGCACTTACAATAAAGACTACACAGACTATTCCCTTCTATGAATGGTTGAGCTATTGAATATGTTGTGATGGACTGGATATGCCCCAGACTGAGCAATTTGATTCTCATGGGCAGACCTCCAGTGACCTCACCCAAAATTCAAAGAATGCATATCAGATGCAGCCTGGCTCTTAAATGTGCGTATAATTATCCAGCATTTATAGATTTCGGTGGAATCTTTTCCATTACCCTCAATTCCTTGTGGATCAGGTCTATGCTGACTGAAGACTTCGGTCTTGTTGTGAGAGTGATTCTGAGGAGGCACAAGAAACCCATGGAGACAGCAGTCTCTCAGGCAGGATTAGAATACAGCAGGGTTAGGAGAGAGCAGTCTCTTAAACTGGTAGCTCAGGCTCACTCCCTATGGGAAGATACTCAGTTCCTTTTGATGAGAATAAGATCAGCTCTTACCAAATAAGATATCTCTTAATGAAATATTCTTTCATAGAAGTAAATTGATAGATGACCAAACAATTTTTTCTGATGTTGTCATCTTACTGCTAAAGTTTCTTTGCTTACTATTTAAATGTAAACACTAAGCTGTGTATGATATACATAGCAATCTGTCCAATCAGTAACACACCAGTTCATAAAGTATCTTAAAATCTACTGCAAATTTTGAGTGCAGAAAAAGGCTGTGGTTGCATAGTAAGACATTGCCTGAGGTTTTAGTTGTTTTCATGCCTCCAAAAAACTTGTTTGCATTTCTTTGGTGCATCCTCCACCTCTGCGAATATGGAATCACTTCACTTTTATCACAAATGGGCCAAGTAAAATTTTTTAATCTCCTGCATCTGAGGTAGAAGCTGAGAGGCTGAGACTGATGAAACAAATCTGAAAGGTGGTGTCTGTTTCCTAGGTTTGATGGTCTGCTGTTCAAGCCACTCTCATGCAGAGTGATACTCTCTCATGCAGCAGCAATAGAAGTATTGGGCCATACAGGGAGTCTGGTGCTCCCTGAAGGGAGTTTCAGCAAATACTTGTTAGCCAGTGGTGTGATACTTGGCCTTCCCACTGGCAATGTGTAACTAAAGGGAAAATAGGATCTTATCTTTAGGTGCTCAGTAGGGTGGGGGAAAGTAGATCTGGAAGAAAACTTAAGATAATTTTAAACCTAGGAAATGGAATGTCTTTGTATTCTTCATGGAGTTGACAATTGGTTTTTCTGTTTTTTCTTCTGTCATTTCAGAGAAGCTTGAAAGTGAGAAGCTGAATGTTGCAGAAGTTACTCAATCTGAAATTGCTCAGAAGCAGAAGCTACAGACAGTGCTTGAAAAGATCAATGAAACCCTTAAACTCCCCCCAAGAAGCATTAAATGGAACGTTGACTGTAAGTTGTGCTTGCTGTGCTGTTCTCATTTGCTGGCAGCTGGGAGTCTGTAGGTGCTGTCTGGAATTCTGAAATATCCAATGATAAGGGAAGGCTGAAATCTGTTATTTATGGTAGGACCTGCTCTGAAGGGCATTTCCAGATATGGTGCACTCTACCCTCTTTAGTGGTGCTCAACCTTCAGTTTCAATGAACTGTCTTTTCAGAGTCTGTCAAAGTATGGTGGTTTTGTTCTAAAGTCCATGTGCATACCAGCTTAAGTTTTCTGTTACCAAATAGGTTTGTTGAAACAGGCAGGTACCTGTATAAATACAATAGACAGGCAGGAGGAAGATTAGGTCCTAGAACTCTTTATCTGTGTAAAATTTGCAACATAGATAGGAATAATATTTCCTGCTCATTTAAGGCTAAGTCTGAACTACTAGTTTCGATTACAAAACTCTCATCAAGGTTAGTTCTGAGTCCTTCTGTTTTATGTATTAAAAATGAATATAGCAATATCTAACAGAAATACCTTCAGTGGTCCAACATGAGACATTTTGGTGCATATATACTGTAGAAACCAGGTTACTAGTTTTAGAAAATTAGGCCTCTTAATCTGTTTTAAGTTTGGTTTTTAGAATCATTTTATGCTGGTGAATACCTTGACTTGTACATAGCGGTTTTACTGTCTCCTATACCTGTTTTGACCTGAGCAGTTTTGTATCCTGTTCCATTCACAACCAATTAGTGAGAGGGAGAGAAATATCACAAGGGATGAGGAGTGAACATTAGGCATTCTGACTTGCTCCTTTGTGTGGTCTTGCTGAATTTTCTGTCCCCTTCTCTTTTCCATGTCCCCCCCGGTTTTTTCCATTCTCTGTTTTGCAGCTGGAGGCAGGGTGTGTGGAGTGGCCTGAAAATTTAACTTCTAGTTTTAATTTAATGTTTTACATGTGTTTTAGGGCTGAAGTAGAGATAGACAGCAGCAGCTGGACCCAGCTGTGGCACACACCAGTGCCAGGCAGACAGACATGTTTGTAGTGTTCTCCTAAAGCGCCTCATCCATGAGCACTGGCACTCCAGCAAAATTTGACAGCAAAGCCACATTTTATATGAATTGGTATCTCCATGGCATAGTTGAGACTTGCATTAGAAGATAATGAAGAAGCATATTTTAGTGCTTTACCAGTGAGGTAAGGTAGGAGTTATTGGTTAGTTCAAGACAAGAAACTTCAAGTGCACTGTACTGTAGCTGTGAAAGATCATTTAGGAATACTGCTCTGGGAAATGCAAAAACAAATTAGAAGAAGAAAGGCAATAATAAGAATTAGAAATTACTCACTTTTATGCCAATGGTTTGATACTTGATTAAGGATTTCCTACAGCATGGCTTTTGATATCTTGTAAGTTGTGTTAGTGTTAACTACCCCTATGAAACCTGCTGTGAAAAAGCTTCAGTAACAGAACTATAACAACTTCATGAGGAATGTTTGAGTCATTGAGTTTAGTAAGTTATTGCTTAAGACTTCTGCCAAAATAGGCTCGTTTATCATCCTGAAGACATTGTGACACTTAAAAATGAATAAGTGCATGTTATGAGTACAAAAATATCTTTCTGATAGTCCATAAATCCTTATTGAAATAAAAGGAATAAAGGAGAGGCAAGGAGAATGCAGAGACAGCACTTAAACTGCCGTACATGAAATCTGGCTTTTGGATTAGCTTTAGATTTCCATCTACACAAGCCTATGGCATCCAGACGTGTTGCAAAGAGTAGCACTTCAGTGCTGACACACGTTGCTGACTGGGTCTCATTCTCACAGCCTGTTGAGCAGAGGAGCCCAGAAGAGACAAGGTGCCTTAAAAGTGCCCCTGGCTCCAGGTGGGAAGAGGAAAAGATTCCCATAATTCTTACATCCTAAGAAGTAAAAAATACGTGTCCCAGTTACTTTGCAGTTTGTAACTTGTGCTTTTGATATCTATTTCAGCTGTTCACGCTAAAAGTCTCGTAGCAATACTTCATCTTCTGGTTGCATTATCTCAGTATTTTCGAGCACCAATCAGACTCCCCGATCATGTGTCCATTCAAGTGGTTGTTGTGCAGGTAAGAGGGGCATTAAACAGCTCTTGGTAGTGTTGTGAAAATGACTGAGGGGTTTCTTAAGAAATGCCTCTAGAGTTTCTGTTTGGATGGGCATTTGTGTGTCTCTTTGGCTGGCGAGAAACACATGTGCATCTTCCCTGCTGACAGTGCTTCAACCAGAAAAAGGCAGAAGTGCTTTCCCAGATTGAGCTGTGGCTCAGAATATCTTATTTTGATTGTGAAGTGGCCAGACTGTGACATTAAAAATATATGAAGCATTATTATTGTTGGAATGTGTTTATCCCTCAGTGTGATCTCTAGAATTATTATTTTTCCCATTTTTTGACGGTCTTCTCACTTGTGTAGAGATTCAAATCATTCTTGGCACTGAATGATGAATTGTCACTGTTTATTACATTCAGATTCATGTTAGGTGACTAAATATTCTTTTTCAGCCTTGTGCATACTAATTTAGTCTGATTACAGTGTTGGTTTTCTCATAAGCACGCAAAAAAACCCCCATCAACTAAATCTTTTGTGTCAGTCGGTCTCCTTATTAGAGCCTCATCCATTCGAACTCTTTATGTTATTCTGTTCATCATTTTTCTTTCAGTTGGACTTGTGTGTGCCCTATCTTATTTGGCCTCTTCCCATTTAATCTGCTTTTCTTTCTCTCCAATTAACTTTGCCTTTATTTTTCCCACTGTAACTGTCTTTATTTATGCCTTTTAGCTGATGTTACCCCGAAGTAACTGGTGGAAAGAGCTATTGCTCAAGTTTTGTGTGACTGAAAATCTGTGAGACAGATCTGAGAAAGTAACTGCTCTTTTTTCCAGCATTCAAATGGGATAAGTTTTGTAATTTGGGGAGAAATCTGAAGGAGAGTCTGGTAAATGTATCACTGGTGCCTGGTGATGACTCATTGACTCTCAGGTTCTGCTTCATGGGTTTCTCTACAGATAATGAAAGGGAATCCCAGAAATCTGCATTTAGGCTTCAGAGGAATATAGTTTTCAAGCACTTTCCTTTGGCTATTGTAGATGTATTATTTTCACTGCTTTATCTCAAAGTTCCACCAAAACCAGCTTAAGAAATTGGGAATACAGTGGGCAGGACATCTTTATGCTGAGAAACTAAACAAGAAAAAGAGCACAGTCCTACAATAGAGAAGCAGATTTGCTGTCACTCCACACATCCAGACAAAATTCCCATTGAAATCAATAGATATAATTGTCCTCCTGTTTAATAGGCTAATGTAGTTCAACAGCAAATCCACTGAAGTCAGTACAGATAAACCGATTTAAAAACAGTAAGTAGTGGGAGAATCTGGCTCACTGCTTTGCACAGCTCAGGCTCAGGCGCCAGTGAATTGTGGAGAAAGCATTTGCAGCAGAATAAAATCCAAGTAATGTTGCAGAAGATTTTGTCCTGCAGACCCCAAGCTGGGTGAAAGCTGCTCAGTGGAACTCCAAAGCTGTGCTGATTCCTGTTAACAGAGGGTGGGGGCCAGTATACTTACTGTAATTGTTTGAGGCATTTATCGTTTTTATTTTATGGTGAATGGGGTTTTTTTGCTTATTTTTTAAATCTGTCTTCTGTGTCCCGTGGAACTAATTCTATGTAAAGCATCATGTACCATTTGAACTCAGTGGAGGTTTTAATCAACGATCGGCAGATCCTAAAGCCTAGTTTAGTGGTCAGACTTGCACACCTCAAGTTCTAAACTCTCATACGTTCTGTAAAGTAAGATCAAGCCTAGGGAAGCTTAACAGACTATGTGGTAGCTGGTTTTAAATTCTATTGTACATGCTTCAATGAAGAGAACAGTAGAGAAAGAGAAATTAAAAGAACAAAGTCCTTTTATGAAGTCTTTAAGGACTACTTTAGTTCATGTCATGTTTTTTCTAGGTGTAGAAACACATAAAATCTGAGGGTTGTTGTGTTGGCTGGGTGTAGTTCATTGAAACAGAAACAAAGATATTTGTGAAACAAAAAATGTGCTCATGCTCAACAGGTTCTTAGGAAAGCTTGTTTCCTTTGGCTGTTTTGTACAAAAGCTGTTAGCAATGAGAGTAATATGAAGTCTGTGTTATGAGCTGCTTTGGGAAAAAATGTGATAGTTGGACCTTCTGTAGCTATTCTGTTATGTTATATTATTTTCTTTTCCTTTCGTACTAATGGAATGAATAATTTTGAACAAAGCCCAGGCTTTGTTTGATCGTATCTACTGAAACAAGGGAGAGCTTTTTTAGAGAGCTGGATCTTGTCATCATGTTGCCTCTTTTTAAAAATTATTTATTTATGCCATCCATGAATGATTAGATGACAGATTGTTTGTGTGCAAGAGATGTAAGTCAGAGAGTATAAGAATGCAGCGGCAGGGCAGCCAGTATGGCTGCAGTATATTCTGGGACAGCACTTCTTGGGTGCATAAACTACTCTTAGGCAAAGCTAGGAAATTAGTGAGACTAGATGAAGATGTACATCACAAACTTAACTGGAGATCATTGGTCACACTATCCGGAAAGGTCTGAAATGTTTCAGAGAAACTTTGGCTTCATGTTCTCAAGAAGTATTTTTCTGAACCTGTGACAAATGCATTTGTTCTTTCAAGCTCTAGAATTAGAGCTAGAATTATAAAACATGATCCTCCAGATGACTGGATAGCAACAATACATAGGCAAAAAGCCATCCAAGCAGTGGGAAGGTTTTCAAAGTGGGATGTTGTCTGGGAAAATTAACCAGTTGTCCCTCAGTTACATAGAACTGCTGATACAAAGGGAGATGAAGAAGAGACCTTTTGCATTTCCAGACATCCTACCCAGATTTCAGATGTATTTTTTTGTTCTAGAGGTAGTTGACAATTTAAAATGGTAAGTGATTAGGAAGATCTTCATGGCTTTTTGTGGAGTCTTTCAGGTGTGAGAGAAGAAAATGCCAAACTTGTCCACTAAAGTCTCCTGTTGTCACCCAGCTTTTCTTGGGGAGTCTTAATTCATACTTCATTTCTCAGTGACTTTCAAATAATAGATGTTGATTTTTGTAGTTTGTTATTTCAGTTGTAGCCACTGTTGCCTTTAAAGAACATGCTGGGCAGTCTTTCAGTCCTCAGAAGGACCTTTTTCTGCTCTCATACTACCAGACTGGTCACTGAAAAGTACAGATACCATTGCTGTGGTGCTCAACTCTTCTAGGAGATGAGAGGAATAGGGCTTTTGCTGCAGAAGGCATCACTGGTGTGTCAGAGTCATCATGAGGAGGAAATAAAAGTTTCCTTTCACCCTGCAGCAAAGGGAAAACTAAACAAAATCTTAGAGAGGAATTCTAATTGGAGTTAACATGAACTTAAAGTATGAGCACTTACTGCTGTCTGCACAAGCTGGAAGTGAAGATAGCCCTAAATTAGGTCATTTTTCTTCAGATTTTCAACGTATGTGACTGAAGATAGCAGCTGTTCTGTGCCCCCAGTGTAACACACTGGACTCCACTCTGTCTTTTTAATATTCAAAGGTCCTTCTTGAATGCAATTTTTACTGTGTTCAAAATACTTAGTAACAGGACTTTAAAAAATATTGTGGAAACCCCCTAAAACTATCATCTAGCTAAAAGGACAGTTTACATTACCCCAGGTCCTGGTCTGGAGTGACCCAGCTGTGTTCAGCTTTCTTGCAGAAAGACAGACATTTCTTCATATATTTTAGTAATGCTGTATAGAAATAACAGTCACAAGGCTGGCTAAATCCTCAGCACATCATACACTGAGGACTGCCTCAGGTAGGGATGTGCTATCTTCTCCAAGGCAAGAAAGAGCAGCAGCCCCAGTTCACATGCCAGGAAGGACTTTTCCAAAACATTATTCTCCTTTTCTACATAGAAGGCAAGTCTAGGAGCAGCATAAATTTATTTTTCTCATTTCCTTTTATGACAGGGAGTGAAGAATCGTGAATAATTGCCTAATGTCTAGACTTTACATGCAGTCGTCAGCATTCGCCTGACTTTTTTTTTCTTTATTGCAAAATTTTAGTAATAACCAGTGAATAGAATTAGCAGAGAGAACACAGAGAGACAGAACATATGTACGGTATTTACACCGCCGCCAGATGACTGATCAGCAGCATACTGAAAACAATGTCAAACTTTTCAACTTCATTTTCCGACTGACTCAAATGAGCAGCCATTTGAGTTGGGTTCTGCCATGTTGTGTGCAACCTCTGACCAGAGGCCACTCAGCACCACGTGAAGGGTTTTCGCATCTCAACTTTGGAGTCACCGCTCATATTAACCGCCTGGTGACTGGGATCTGGAGCAGGCTGGGAGTGCGAATGGAAGCTCCATTTTGGTTTTCCATCAGAGGCAAATAGAGCTCTTTGTCTAGAGAGCAAGTCAGAAAAGGGAAGCACTGAGGCAAAAAAGAAAGAGTATGAGCAGGGCAGAGAGAACAAATGGCCTAGAGCAGACTTTTTGCAAAAGAGAAGCACGGGCACCATCTGCCAAAGCTGTTCACTGAAATACAAGGTTTAATTCAGCTCACCGAGGCATACCTCTACTAAAATACTTACATATGGGTTTAGGTGTTTCAAATGTCTTGCTGAATTGGGGCCTTTAAAAGAAAAGTGAATTAGGAACAATGGAGAAAGGGAAAGTAATACTTCCTTCTACAGGTGGAGTTTCAAGTTTCTCGTTAATGTACAAAAGAGTTTTCTGAAATACTTGCAAGGTAAAATAATATTACTGTAAGTTTGTTTAAGAAAAGTTCTTATTTTTCAGGCTTTTTATCTAATTACTTTTCTGGATCACAAATAAATTTTTACCGTACCCTAAGCATTAAACTTTACTGAGAAAAATGTCACTTTTTTATTTTTTCCAGAAACGAGAAGGAATCCTCCAGTCTCGACAAATCCAAGAGGAAATAACTGGTAACACTGAGTATGTCAACACCACTTTTGCCAACAGTTCAGTAATTGAACACAGATGCGTCCCAGAAATTCAAACATTTGCTGATATTTAGATTTCAGTATTGGGGTTCCAGGGAAGATGATGCATCAGCCAGTGACTGCATTTTAGCCTTTTCAAGAGCTGCAAACATGCATCTAAAAATACAAGAGGAGAGGGAATAGAGAGGAGGGGAACTAAAAACAGGAGATCAGGATAGATGAGAAGATAGAGTGAAGATATACAAAATCTCTACTCTGTATTTATCTACTATTAATTTATTTTTATTATATTTATTATTATTTTATTAAATAGTCCTTCAAACAAACAAGAAAGATATACCTCACTCTTTTCTGTTGGTTTTGACTTGATAAAGAATGAGATTTGTTCAAAAAGGAATGTGATGTGACTATTTTTAGGTAGTTTTGACTTTGGGAATGTAAAATGCCGGTAGTAAGCCCTTTATGTGTCATCTCACTGAACAATTTATAACAGAAAAGTTATTCCAAACCAACAGAGAACAATAGTAGAATATTCTGGTTTCTAGTTGAATGGAGAGAAGCTGTACTATGATTTATTTTATCTGTATGGATTTGTTTATGCGTGATAGTTATATGAGGGATTAACTGGAGCAAAATGCTTCAGTTGGTGTGGTAAATTCATCTTTTAAGGAGAGGGGCAGGTTTTCACAAAATCAACATGAAAAGGCCTTCTTCACTCAAGCAAGGTGTGTTGATTTGGTTCAAAGTGGAAAATGTGAGATCTGGCCTCCTTGAGACTTTAGTGAAGCCAAGAGATATTATGCTGATAGACTCCAGACTAATCCAGATCCTCAGTTGGTGTAATTTAATGACGGTTTTCTTAGTTCCGTGGATTCACTCCAGTATCCACCAAGTTGAAGATCTGACCATGTTCATTGTTTTCTTTTGCAGCACAATATCTGCAAGTGAATTATATATAACATTGTTTTGTTCTTGTTCTTTTTCTTTTTTTTTTTTTTCCTATAGGGCTTTGTCAGGAAGGCATGGTAAGTTCATTTGATTATTATCTTTTCCTTGATGCAGCCAAAGTACACATTAGTTCTGCAGTGGGTGGTCACTTTGATCAACCTGCAAGGAAGTAGAGGATTTCAAGTTGCCCTGGCAAATATCTGCACCACAGGCTATTATGGCAGTTAACAAAAGGGGGGGGAAAAAGCATCAAAATCAGTCCGACCATCTTTAAATTTCATTGCTTTTCAGCACATGTTAATATGCAGGTGCTTTGTGGTTTAACCTCTAGAACGTTACTGTAATAGTATTAATGGTTATAAGTTCCCAGCATAATGTAAAATGGTGGCTTATCATGAAGCAGCTGGTGAACATGATGATATTCTTACATCCGTTACCTACTTACACTTTGAAGACTTGGAGTCATCATTCAGCAACCCTACCCATGCAAGATCCTGTGCCTGGTATATCTTACTGCCAGGACTGAGACTGGCCAAATGCCTGGACAGCAGAAAACACTCACCTGAGCAGCTTACGTAGAGAATTTAGCTTTTACTTCTTTATTTTTTTAGGCCACCAAGAATTTAGCTTTTGCTTCTTGTATTCTTTCAGTGGCTGCCATGGAGCTGATTTAAAGGCTTCATGAATGACTTCTTTTCCCAATGATATCCCTGAGCAGTCTTACTTAATATAAGGTCTGACTTCTATAAATGGCTTTGGATCTACTTTAGCTTTTTTTTTTAATTGAGGAATATGAATGTAACTGTTTATGGGGTCATTTGCTATCATTCAGGTGATTGTCAAAATGGAAAATGCTCAGAAAAGGCTCTGGTGGCTTTGTTTTAATTATTTTTTCTGTTTTCTTCAGAAGGTCATCACAGTAGCACTCCTGTCATGCTGCCTTAGGTTACCTGTACTGCTGATAATGTCCTAAATTGCATATCAGAATGGCCCAAAACATCTATACAAAGGATTGTATTGCAGATAATATCATAGGCCTGCTTGAGATGCTTAATACCACAATGCAGTCAGTGGCCCATGGGGAAAATCTTCATCTGTAGATGTAGTGGCTCTAATGTAAACTCATGTTGTTCTGCACAAAATTATTTGGTTACTTAACTACCTGTATCTGGCTGTTTAAGGTTTTATGCATAGCTATTCTTTGTTTGTTTTTGAGAAATGGGGTCATTAGGCAATCCATATCCTACTTGAAATCAATTCTTTTTTTAAATAATAGTGAATAAGTTACCAGCAGCTTACAGCAAGAGAGCAGGATGCAAAATACATGGTACTTGCAATACAGAGACTATATTGAAACATTCTGCTGGCTGTGTTGTCTCAAATGAATATGTGTCTCAGTAAGTGTTTATTCTGCACTGGAACAAGTGCTATTCAGTATATTAATATCACTGAATGTTTTTCAGAAAGAGACGCATTTGACACTTTATTTGACCACGCTCCAGACAAGCTCAATGTAGTGAAAAAGGTTGGAAAGTTTTTATTTTTGACATACATAATGTGTGCATGTGCATTCTTGAGTGTCTCTGTATGTCTGTAGTGAGTGTGTGTGGATAGAATATATAATTGGCAGAGTTTGCATACATTAAATACACTTAAGATTTATACTTAAATATACAAATTCACAATTATTATATTACTTTTTATTTAATGTTTAGCAGCATGAATTTAACTTTGGAACACACAGTAACATATAGTTATCTAAGATCCCTTCAAATAAGTTCTCACAAAGTGCATGTTGAGTAGAACCCAACTGGTACATTGGCTATACTAATGCTAAAGAGATACCCATTTTACAACTACTAAAGGTCTGACCTAGAGTATTTTGGCTGCTGTCAGATTTGAGTGGAGTCCAATTACCTACTTCCCTGTAGTCTGCTACAAGTGTTTGTTTTTTATGTTTTAACAGTATGGTTTTTTATATTATCATACTTGTTTTATTTCTGTTCTTAATTCTTGGAAAATTATTTTTTTTTAATGTCACATTTCAGTTTTAAAACTTAGAGACTGTGTTGCAGTCTCCTCACTCATATACTCTCTTCTGAGTGGAGTTAATACTGCTTGCGTTGGACTGCTGCCCTACTGAATATGCCTTTACTACACTGTTTTCATATTTCAGACTCTCATCACCTTTGTGAACAAGCATCTGAATAAACTGAATCTGGAGGTGACTGAACTAGACACGCAGGTAGAATTTTATAGGCTTTCTTAAAGGGAAGAGATAGTTGCACTATGTTATGCTCTACGCCCCAAACTTCATCCAGAAATTTCATTGAATTGTTATTGAATGTGCTCCAAGATGTTATTTCAGCACGAAACCCTTCATTTCTAAATATTCTTATATGAGGAAGACCCTCACCAGTTAAGCATCTAAACCAGTTTTGTGCTTTCACTAGCATAAAAATTAATTAAGAAACGCTACCCTTTGGGTGCTGCCAAGTGCTCTGAGAAGAACCTGCTTGTTTTGGTCAGGAAAGAACTCTGTCCGCTTGGTTTGATCCAGCGTCAGGCTGAGCAGTTGTTTCCTCCCTACCTTTCCACAAGCACGCAGTCACATGGGATTACAATGGCTCTATTCAGTGAGATACATTCTCCAGAGTAAAGCTACTCAAGTGTACAGGCAGCTGTACAGCTGGGCTGCAGGCTTGATTGCACCACAGAAATAATGTGGTGCATGGTCGTCTTTCTTGTCCTCAGCTGCTAAATTGGCTGAAAAGAAGTTAAAAGAAAAGCTTAATCCTGCTGTATTAATACCTCCCCATATGAACAATTGCAGCAGTTATCATAAGAAAATTACGGGTCAGGCAGGAAGGGGTGGTATCTGCACTGTCAAAAAAGCCCAGGTGTCTTCAGGTCAGGCTTTATTTTATGTCTTGATTCATGTTGTTAAGAATCTCTACTTCATTTAAATAGCTATCAATCTGATAGAGATTTCTGCAAAGGTAAAATCAAGATTTAGATGGAAATAATGTGTAAAGGCTTTCAAAAGGGCATTCCCTATTTCTGCTTATTGTATTCTTTACTTCGGGGAAAAATGTATTATTCAAATGTACCTAGAAACTCCTTAAGCATTTATGCAAAACAGTAATCCCTAAGATGAGAGATTGTATTTCTATCAGTTGGAAGAAAATTTACTTAGTAAGGTGATAGGTTGCTTCAGATAACTCAGTTTGAGTATGGAGATACCTCAGTGCACTAATAGACCTGATGTCACAGGGGTAGAATTGAGAGACCTTTGACAAAACCATGAAACATAGAATGTTTTGGTTTGGAAGGGACACCTTCCGCAAGACCGGGCTGCTCAAGCCTTGATCAATTCCAGAGATGGGGCATCCACAACTTCTCTGGGCAACCTGTTCCAGTGCCTCGGTGCCCTCACAGTAAATAATTTATTCCTAATATCTAATCTAAACCTGCCCCCCCCAGTTTAAAGCCATTCCCCCCTTGTCCTGTCGCTTCATGGCCTTGTGAAAAGTCCCTCTCCAACTCTCTTGTAGTCCCTTTAGGCAGTGGAAGGTGCTACAAAGGTCTCCCTGGAGCCTTCTCTTCTCCAGGCTGAACAATCCCAGCTCTCAGCCTGTCTTCACAGGAGAGGTGCTCTGATCATCTTCGTGGCCTCCTCTGGACTCGCTCCAACAGGTCCATGTCCTTCTTATGGATGTTGCTGTTTTTTTCAATAGAAATGAACATATATCATAGCAATTAGATATCTTCCACTGTAATTACGGACACTAAAAATTAGACATAACAGAACTAACTAATTACATAGAATCAAAGAAGTGAGATGACATCGTTTAGTTGCAATTTAAAATATTCGTTTTAGTAGTTTGTTGACAGTTCTGCATTAGACAATATATATCTTGCTCATTAAGAAAAACAATGAGATATTTTTCAGGAAATGTACTGAGAAATGTCTTTTTTACAGTTTGCAGATGGTGTGTACTTAGTCCTGCTAATGGGTCTCCTAGAAGGCTATTTTGTTCCCCTGCACAGCTTTTTCTTGACTCCTGATAGTTTTGAACAAAAGGTAATTAGATTGCATTTTTCTATCAAAAAAAAACCAAACATATAAACATATCTAGTTTTACAAGGATGACATAAATTTTTCCACATACATTTTTGATGTTAATAGTTGAAAGAAAGGGCTGTACTGGTAACCAACCATTTCCAAGCATTAAAAAAATTTCAGTATTAATACTTATCTGGAGTAAAACAGAAAATTATATTAATGATGGTGTGGTTAGCAAGTCTTAACAGATTTTGGCAGCCACTGTGCGATGCTGTCATTGCACGAGACTTACTGTTCATTAAGTGCATATAGGATTACATACAAGAATTGATGACAGAACTGATTTTTTTTTAATGTCCAAAATTCAAGACACATTTAACATTTGAAAAGTTTAATGGGTTTTGGAAGCATAAAGGCATATATGTACAATGTGTCAATTTGAGACCAACCATTACCTCAGTGTCTGTTGCTATCCAGGCAGTTCAGCTGTCTGTTCAAGACAAGAGAACTTCATGGGCCATCATGTTCCAATTTTCAAAGTTGAGGGAGGTGGGCTATTCTTACTTGTAAGTAATTTTTCTATGGGTAATGTTAGTTCATATGTTATCTTTCAATTATTTTTATATTTCTGAAATCACCATAAGCCTAACACACCAAAACAATGGATTGTCGGCATTCCATGTACCAAATCTTCTATTTATAAATGCAGCCCTGACTGTTTTTTCCTTCTGCACCTTTAAATACATCTTGTTTTGAACATTTGTACTATAAAATATAAAGTTCACAATAATGACTACCTTCATTATATTACTAGGTCCTCAACGTATCCTTTGCATTTGAGCTAATGCAAGATGGTGGACTGGAAAAACCAAAGCCAAGACCAGAAGGTATCTATTCTACATTTTTTGTATCTCCTTAAAAATTTGCATTGGATCTAGATCCTACAGGGCTATGGGATGGCTAAGTGAAGGTTAAAATGTTTTTCCAAGAGCAAAAAGCAAGATACGTTTTGAAGTGCTCGAGTAACTCTGTATTTTAAATGGCTGATAGACACACTTTTTCAAATTTTGCAGCAAATTTCCTTTCTTCAGTGGCCTGGGTAAAATTTGTATGGCCAAATATATGCAGTAATATTCAAATATTCACTGAAAGAAAAAGAATACAGATATGAATGGTGTCACTGGCAAATGTGAATTGCTCCAATTGCTTAGTTTTCCCCCATCTCACATCTTCATACTAAACCTCAAGTATTCCAATGTGATTTACAGGACTTTCACAAAAGAGGGAAATGTGGAAGAAGATGTTCACATAACTGCCTTTGAATGCAGGACCTAATCATGCAGATGTAAATTAGGTATAGAGTTGGAGACTGAAAGTAAAATGTGTCTTCAGAGAGGATAAAGGTTTAGCTGCTGACTTTAGCAGTACCAGTGTTCCACTCCTCTTTGCTCATATAATTAGTGTTTAAATCCAGCTTTTTGGTCTCGATATAGAGCCCTTGATTCACCATGTTGTAGGGTGCTCTTGTGGCTGCTCCCATAAGCAGTTATCACGTCTTACCATGCAGGAGCTGGACGTGCAGCTTCTGCTCCGCTCTTCCTAACAGAGTCAATAGCTGAGTTTCTGCTGGTTGCCCACCATAATAATCCATACATAAACATGTGTTTTCAAGACCAGTTGCAGATTCACATTATATGGTGCTCACAGTCTTTTCCTAACGTAATATTGGATTGTCATTCCCCGAGGAGTTGATATGAGCTGTTGCTTCTAATAGTAAGAACTCTCTGGAGATTCAGGCACACATTGCTGAATCAGGTTCTGCTCCATTCTACTTATTTCCTATCCCTCCCAACTTCTGGGAGCAGCAGGCACACACACACACAATAATACATCTCAGTGTCAAGCCTATGCTACCTGTGCATTAAATCTGGACCTACCCAGCCTATTTTTTTGCTTCTTTTGATAGTCCGAACTCTTATCTACAATCATGCTTAACTAAACCACTGGTGAGTATATCAGAAACATTTGTGTTTGAAATAGTGAAAGAGAGAAGGGGGAAACAGTGAAATCTAGGCATCCAAGTAAAACAGAGAGTATCTGTGATCCCTTACTCCCCATGGAGGTTTAAAATTCTTATGGCATTTAATTTTTCAGGTATTTATTGCTCTAGGGGACAGCTAATTTTTCCAGTATAAATCAAGCCATAAGGATATTTCAGCATATATAAGACATTTCTTGTGCAATTATTGAAATGCTTAATATGAAACTTCCTGCCCAATGTGAATGGAAAAACACATCTGTTTTATGTGTTGTTACATTGGGCACAATGCCCGTACTTAAAATTTCCAGTGAGCAAAAGAGTATTGAAAAGGATCTTACCCAAAATGTGTACACTAAATTCTCTTTAAATTCCTACACTGTTTCTTTGAGGTTCTTGAGGAAAAAATATGCTGAAAAGTGCTTTAGAATATGAAAAACATATTTAGTGGAAAAAAAGAATGCAGTTAAATAAATGAGTGTAAAAACCAATGATTTTTATGGGGTCAACAGTTTATTTGGGTTATTTGCAATATAATTGAAAAGGTATTAAAAAGCTTTCTGTGACCTTTTACTTTAAAAATGGCTGGAACATTAATCTATTGAGTCTATAATGAATTCATTTGCAGTGTGAGCTTTTTCAGATTAGGTCTTGAAATGTGTACATCAAAGCCAAACTCAAGTTTCTCTTTTTGAAACTTGCAACCAGTAAAATGTTACACATCCCAGTCAAACACACGAAGCAATGGAAATAGCTCATCTTTCTTTGGGAGCACGCTTCTTTTAGTTTGGGCCTTTTTGTGAAATTCTGTTGTGGACTCTGGTGGAGTCTCCTGGTATCTTTGCAAAGACCTAACAAAGTTACCTCTTTATTAATTTGGAGTTGTACTCAGAAAAAAGGTGTTATGCACCTTGCTCCTGGCCTGAAAGAGGAAACTTCCCATGTTACATGCAAATGGTATTGCAGATTATAACAGGATGTTGTGGGAGCCATGTACCTTTCCTGTAGCTTTTGGCATTTCCTCTTCCTTTTATACCAAACATTTTTGATCTGATTTTTTGAGAGCCACAAAACCTTCGTGGCTGTGGTTTCATGGCCGTGCATCAATCTAGGCTTGAGTGTTTTCACCTTTGTCCATGAATGTCAGTTTGCCACGTAGCTAATATCTTTAACCCTTCAAAGTTTGCATACTTTAGGACACCATGTGTAAGTTTGATGGGATTAACTCTTCAAAGGATGATCCCTTTACAGTCTATGAGAAACAGCAGTGTAGATAAATATAATGGCAAAGTTCTCTAATGATTGCATACACCACTTCCCAGGCTTACTTGGAAGTTTTGAAGGTAATGGGGAGTATCCACGGCCTCTGCTTTACACCTTCATGGCCAATTCCAAGACCAAAGTCGGGAGTCTGAGTTCCTGTAGGGTCAACAGAAAGAGATAGAACAATGCTAATTCTGCTCAATTCTTTCTGAAGGCAGTTCCAAATCCCTGTTTGAGACTGAATGTTCCTTGAAGCACTAGCGTAGACTGCTGCAGTAGTACTTGTCAGTTTGTTTTATAGATTTCTTGTGAAATAATATTGACTTTTTCAAGAACTTCTCTTGGAACAGAAGGTATTCATTAACTTTTTGTTTCGTATAAATCCCTTACTTTAGATGTTGAGTTTCTGAGGATTGATTCAGCCTTGTATGTGAGCTAGCTCAAAGAATTTTCAGAAGTGTCTTCAAGGGGCGCTTGTATACCTAGCTTCCTTAGATCCTTTGGAGAATTTAAACTTGCCTCTAGCTATCTTGCTGAAATTAGGCCTAATAAAGGATGTTGCAGCCCAGAATGTGCTAACTCCTACAGTTCTTACATAAGAGGAGAATTCCATTGTTTCTTGCCTGATGATTCGATCAACATGGTTTCTTTTCAGCCACAGTTGACTGAAGATTAAGTCATGTAAATATATGTAATCCTGGGCACAGTTTGTCTCAGGGATATCTCAACCTTGGTTGCATTTCAACATCAGTAGCATTAGCTATTTGTATCCCTAAGTAAAAGTGGTTAAAACATCAATTTCTGAGTTGCCAGTTTGAAAATTGTGCTTTATTGATATTTCTACTCTTTCTTACTATCTTTGTGATCCAGTGTTCATGAATATTGATCCAAGCAAGGGATGGGAGTAGAAAATAGGCACTTCTTCTCTGAAAAATATTTTGAACTAATGAAGTTACTAATGTGTTTTTCCTTGTCTTTTTTTCTAGATATTGTAAATTGTGACTTGAAGTCTACACTGAGAGTACTGTACAATTTGTTTACCAAATACAGGAACGTGGAGTGAAGAACTGATTTGAGTTGTAAAGGAGTGTTAATATCATAGCTAGTGTATCTTTCATTCGTATTCCTCTGCATCTTTATCCTAAAAGGAACTAAACTGTTTATCTGAAGAACTCTTAATTGATTATTCTTGCACTACTATTTTCATAGTAGATTTAAAACTATATAACTAAAAAAGAAAAAAAAGGTTGGAGGAAAGTATTTGAGTATATTCTGAGAGTATTCATGTCTCAATTGTCTTCACGCTGTTTTTAGTAGGTTAAACAACAATGAAACCAACCAATTTAGTAACTTTGATTCAAATCAGCCTTTGAAGCCAGTCATAGGAAGATTCTTAATTGAGTACTTTAATATTTTTTACATTTATCTTTTTTGAATCTGGGAAGGGGAAGAATATTTTCTATCTATGATACGACAGTTCCATTCTAATTGTGAGAAATTAGAATGAAATGGAGGGAAACAGTTAAATACACTTGTTCACATGACAGCTAAAAAGAAGAGACTTTACTTGATTAACATACATTTCCAGTGCTATTATGAGGCTTTAATTTTATAGGTACAAACTGAAGTGGCTAGTCATTCCTTCAGACTTAACTATAATGGGATACTCTGCTTTAAATCTGTGTTATTGAGCATTCCACAGCAGCACACTTTGCAGCTTGTCACTTGGTTTTGTTCAAGGCAGAGATCTTTTTTGTAAAAGAATTTTTACATTTCAGGAAGACACATCTGTATAATACAGGTTTTCTATAATATTCGTATTATTACATAATATTAGAAAGTAGAAGAATGTATTGGTTTTGTTTTGGTAGTTTAATCACAGGATTATTGGGTTTAGATTTATTGCTAAATAGGATTTAGAATTGTCCCTTTGGTTGATTTTATGATGAATGTATTTTGCTGCATAATGTCCAGCGCACACACACACACAAAATATTAATTTTCTAGAAATATTCCCATAGTGTTTCAGATACAAAAGCAATGCTTTTTGGTCAAAACTACTCCCACCTGCAAAGATTCCATCACTTTGTAAGGTTCTTTGGTGATTTTATATGCTTATAAAGATTTATTCTATCTAATAATCACCAAGTATAAGCTGTTTTCTGTTGGTTTTTAGCTTTAACAAAGACACACAGGAGAAATGGGAGTTGATTTTTCCCTTTGACTGATACCAAGCACCAGTTATGTTTCTGTAAAGAAGCTGATAGAGGCTGCCTGAATCACTTCCTAAACAAAGTATTCCATTGCAACCATAGATTCTTGGAATCCTGGGTTACACAGTGAAGAAAAAAAATCCTTAGGCTGAAATTCTTAGACAACTGTTCAGAAATCTTTGGGCTGCTTAGTGCAGGAAGGAGACTTGTTAATAGTCATCCAGTTCTGGCAGAACTTGTTTAGGTAAAAGGAAAAGTGATTTGTCGGCTCCTGAGTCAGTTCCTCGGAAGAAAGGCAGTGCTGGCAAGAACAGTCATTAACAGTTATATGTTACTTATTATGTAAAGCATGACATATTTTTCAATTTTCCAGGGCTTTTTTTTTTTCTTTTATGTAGAGCTTTCCAGTACAACATTAGCAAAAAAGGGAACTCAAGCAATTGCTTTCTATCTCTGATAAACACCAACTGATGTTTTGTAATAAGGTGATACTGACTTTTGCTGCAGGGCTATGAAATTATTCTTCTGAGAAGTAAGTATCAACTTTTTCAAGGGAAAGTTAGTATTCAGTTCAAATGACAATACCTGGATGTTCTCGGAACTCAGAAATTGTTGTCTGATTGTTTTAAGTGTTCTAAATATCTTTGTTAAGATATTTTCTTACCTCTGTATTTTTACCTGAGTTTCTGAAATTAGAGGTACAGAATATAACAATTATTTGCCCTTTACAGAGAGAAATAACTGGGCATTTTGACCTCAGTGAAAATGAACATGTTTTCATTACAGCTTTAATATCTGAGAAGCTAAACAATAGGAATTAACCAAACATTTTCTGAGCAAACTGAGATAGAACTTGCCATGTACATACCAGCAGCCATTTCAGTTCATTTTAATGTTTAACATGTAAGTTTTTTATTTGCACACCTAGATTTTAGTAACTGTAATAGTTCATTAAAAGGAGTATGTTTTTCTGCAGATCATGCTCAGCTAAAACACTTTTACATATCAACAGTGACAAACGATTTTGATTGCCTTTGATTTCAGGAGTGCACTTTCTTTAGAGAAGGGATTAATATATGTAAGGTGAACAGTGAAACTAGTTTCTTGTCTGGACTTAAAAATAAGTATTTTTTGTGCTATATTGATGCAACATTTTTGGAGATTTTGAAGCCTATCAAACTCTATTTTCCAGCCTTAAAAACATAATACTGAGACAGAATGATTAAATCCTCATGCTGAAATGCAGTTATGCAGAACCAGAGAAACATTTAAACATCCAACCTTTACACAATTATCTATTCTATGGTAACAATATATGTAAATTACAATCCACTATATAAACGAGAGTGTCCTATGTAAATATAGATCCAAACTAAATATAGTTTTAACACACTCACACAAATAGTATATGCTGCCATGTAGGAGTGGGTCACTGCTTATATTTTTGACAGTGTAGATTTAAATAGCTATCAGATAAATATGAAATCTAATATACAGATTATATCTAATATTTATTGCTTTGATACAGAATATTATAGAAATATAGAATACTACTGTAGACAGTTTGCTTTTCAGCCCTTGGTGTAGGTCAGTCCCTTCCTCCAGGGAAGGGAAGTGTTAAGTTAGCTGGGCTGAATTCTGCCAACACCTTAATTGCTTTTATTCTTGATACACAGCAGTGTATACTGATACAGTGCTGAATGCAGAATTTTCCTCACTGTTTATATTAAGATAGAAGTTGTTTAAATTTTAGGTCAATCCCAGGTTTATTTATAATTACTTTAAATAATTAAATGGATCCAAGTCAATTGATTTAGGTTGTGTAAGACGTGAGCAACCACCTAGAGAGGCCAGTTTCTCAACTGGTCCCAGAGAGAGCCCCTGGTCTCAAGGCTACCTTCTCAGCACTTGGGCTGGATTTCTAAAGCCAGCCAACGTGAATCCAAGCCACTGCCTGAAGATCTCATGGTGGTATTTGGATCTCATCCACCAGACCCATGTGCTTGTCTGTTGTGCTCTATCACATGAAGGCCCACAGGAAGCTGAGTCCACCAAAACCTGGTAGTAACAAACAGTAAACATTTCTGCTGTTGGGGCAGCCAAAAGAACATCTTTCTGTGCTTCTCTCACTTCTAATTCATTCATTGCATCCAGCAATATAGCATCCAGATTTGTTTTGTGGTTAGAGATAGCATCCTTTCCCTGTTGATGGATCCTGATATGCTTTTCCAAACACATAAAACTTACTTTTTTTTCTAATAGGAACTACAGATTTTTCATAGTGTGTCCATAAGATGTTGTCAAGATAATTACTTAAAATCCTAATATCTTGAAGTCAGCTCCTTTCAGGTTTCTTTCCCAGCTGACTGGCATTGAGTTGCCATAAGGAACAAGCCCTATAAAAAAGCTATTGAAGGAACCTTTGCATAATTTTACCCAAGACACACTCGCAAAGTCCAGAATTGGATTGCTCTGCATTTCTGATGGAGGAGAGGCACACAGAGCTGACTGCAGAATATCTAGTTCTTTGCATTTCTTAGTCAGTAGGTATCTTCCTGTTACAGGGGGTAGCAGCCCTTGCAGCTACATAGCTCAGGAATTCAAGTGGACTAGCAAGAGCTGGGTAAGGTCCTTATCTACTTCAATTAACCGTGGACTGAGTTGCCGAGTGGTGTATCCCGTGTAAACCAGTGGCGTTAAAACAACAGAGCCTCTGTTTTACAGAGGGTAACAGTAATTGGAAATGGTTTACATTCAGGCAGAATGTGTTGATTGAGGTAAACGCTACTTGGTCGACTTTTGTTCTTACTTCTTTACTGCAAGTGTGTTTTTAAATTCATGTTTCAGATTAATTTAGCAGACACCTTACTGCAAGCGGCAGTGTTGTAAAACAGAATGGCTTTTAGAAGTAAAGGGGTTTATTTCATTAGAGAAAGATATATATGATATTTAATATACTAGATACCAGCTTTAGATCTAGTTTTTGTTATTCTTATCTTCCTATCAAAACAACCTTCATAAATGGCCAAGCACCCAAAGAGAAAACAGTGCCTTGAAGACCTCTTGCAAAATTTTTTACACTGTTACCTAATAGACTTTTGTCCTTTTACTTTAAGAATTAGTATGGGGTTTGTCTTTACAGTCAGAGTACAATGACAGACTGAAGAAATCTTTTATAAAAAGTTATTATTAGTTTGAATTAAGATATTTTATTTTGATTTATCACATGGAAAATTGAGATCGCATCACCAAAATTCTAAAATTAGGCATATCTTAGCATCCACAGATTTTCCAAAGAGGTTTTGAGTCATTTAACATTTACAAGGGCTAATTTTGTGTATTTAGACAATATTTTGTGTGAGTTTTTTTTCTTCAATAGTGAGATTTTCTTTTTTGTCTAACAATTTAATACTATGCACTCTGCAACAAGTCCTTGAAATATTTGGTTCTCAACTTCAATATCAAACTAATTAAGAAAAAAAAGAATATTTGAAAAACTTACTTAACACATATCTGAAAAAGTATTGTTAGTTTAAATTAAGCTGCTTGCTTTCAACTGCAGAGTTAGTGGCTTTCACAGAATATATATACTCTGTAAGCAAAAGACACACTCTTTTGATGACTTTTTCCCTGTGCTTTTTCTGAAACCTTTGTTATGATCCACAATAAAATTTGCACCTGAAAATCAACACTGCATGTTTTTGTTGGGTTGAAGTATGAGATGTCTGACAAAAAATGTGGGAAGTTGTACGGTTTATGTTCTCAGAGCTTCCAGACCTCTCTGTGCATCTAACCCTTTCCAGTTAGCTCTTTGTGGATGTACAACTTATTTATTATTATGTTCTATGGGGGCTGGTGACAGCTGGAAGTGGGTTGGCAAAAACAGTCATGTAAACATATGTTTGAAATGATTAACGGCAGCAGGTCAGGAAAATGCTGTCTTTGACTCAAAATAGCAAAGTATACCTTTGCTTTAACATTACTGTGCTGAAAACTGCAGTGGTGATACTGCAGCCGGGTGTAATACAGAGTAATGTTGTTAATCTGAAATCTAGCAAAATGCTAGTGAAACATTAAAAGGATTGAAATTACACTGTCTGTTTCAGAAAATAACTGCGTTTAAGAAGATTCTGAGATCTGGTTTTTTATTTTATTTTTTTTTGTTGTGACCCTTTAATGCAGGAGCTTCAATGCAGAACTTGGAACCAGTCCAAAATATAGGCATCTGAAGTGCTGCAGATCGACATTTTTAGCCACTGAATTACTGGAATTAATCCAGAAGCAGGTGTTTGATCTTTAGGTCTGCTTGTAAAGCTGAAACCACCAAGCAGAGCTGCCTAACAACAACAGGGAACACTAAAGACAGGGTGAGTTTTAATGACAGTCTTCAATCCCAGTCTATTACTCAGGGCTTGAAAGAAGTACCTCTGTCTGCTTAGGATCCACATTCATAACCCCCACCATATGCCCTTACAGCTTTTGTCCTGAATTTTATGGATTTTATCCTGAAGAGCGAGTAGACTTGCTCTTCAAACATTGCAGTACAGCAAAAAGGTCATGGTCTGGCTTCCTCAATTTTTTCATTACTATTCACACAGAAAGTAGAAGATCTGAGTTTAATGCCCTTCTGGACCTGTGGGACTGATTTCTCTCCTCTTTAGAAACCTGCAGTGTGAATTTAAGGTGATATGCTTTTTCTAGTGTTGTTGGAGGGGCACTGTTGCCACCTAAGCTGAAGTTGCAACTCTGTGTATAAAGTAATTCCACATTAACTGAGAGAAAAATAGAGCAGAAGAGGGAGCATGGTGATTAAGCTGTTGAAAAGGTGGAAAGGAATTTGGGGAAAGAACCTGTCTGGGCCTTCTGTAAGGACTGCTTCTACATTTTAGTCAAATCAAAATTCCAAAACACATTTTGAAGAGGAAACAGAGTAACATCACTTCTGTTCCAGGGCAAAGTTCCTGCTGAACTTGGGTCACTTTCACTTCTCTCTCCCAGGACTCAAAACAGCCCCAAGAGAAGGTATTCCTACCCCCACATGGCCTGCAGCCTGAGTTAGGTTTGCATTTCCTCAGGCAGAGCAGATTATAGCTTCCTCCCCTGCTTCCCACCTGTTCTCCAGGCATTAGGTGGGCTCACAAGGCAAGGTGAGCACCACATCATCTACAAGCTGTGTTTTACAAAGATTACAAAACACCACTGCATTTTGTTTGTAAAGCCAGCTGAGGTTTGTTGGGACTTCTCTGAGCACAAGCACTGGATTGAGTGCCACATCTCAGTTTTGGATCCCAGCCAGATTACAACTAGAACTACTCAGTCCCATTGAGACTGGGTCAGCTTTGAACATGTGCAGGCATAACATGCGAGGGACTTTACAACTGAAAATCAAGGGTGAAATTTACATGGCTTCAGGGGGAGGTGGTGCAGCCTTGGTGCCTACATTCTGTTTGAAGAGCAGAAAATCTGCCTGGGGCCATATTCCTCACATGGGATGAGGAGGGAAAACAGGAAGAGCGTCTTCTTCTTTTGACATCTCCATGATGTGGCAGGCTGCACAAGCTGTTTTCTACTTGGCTAAGTTTAATTTTATTGGGAATAAGCCTGAAAACATGTTTTAACTATTCCTTCTTCTCCTGGATGTTTGCACTGTTCCAGTTAGGTGAAAATTAATACTAAATTAGCATGTTGAGGCTCTACAGTCTTCGGCTGTGACTAATCAGCACCTTCCACTTCTCAGGGCTTTTTGATGCTGGGAGGAATGAATGGTGCTGACTGTAATCATGTCTCTGAATGATTAGTCCATTGGATCACATGCCAGATTTATAACTGTTATATTAGATGAACAGATGAGGGTTATTAAATTACATGCGGGGGGTGGAGGGAAATGGTTGTGACCAGAACTTCATGTTTTGTTTAGTTGTCTTTTTTTGTCGTTGTTGGGTGGCAGTACTTAAGTGAGGGGGTAATCACCCCCGTGCAGTCCGAAAGTTGTAAAGTGCTGAGGACTGTAGCCTCAATTCAGCAAAACACTGAATTAGCTTTAAATATGTGAGAAAAGTCCTTGTGGTTTCTTTAAATCTGTTTTACCTAGACATGGATAAATATTCGTGTCACCGTGGGAAGCCTCAGTCACATTTACACTGAGGCCTGTGTTGTATTGTCTTCACATCCCAGCACAATCCTATATAATTACACCCACAAAACCATTACTTTTAAGGCCTGCTTTCCTCAAATGATCCCTTACAGCTGCTTTGTAAAATAGCTCATAAAATCCCTATGCTTCTTGTCCACTGTGGAATTCATTAAGAGTTTCACCTGGATGAAGCATTGCGAAACCGGGATGGTTTATGTCTTCTCTTGTGAGGTCCTTGGAGATCAGACAACTAAATCAATTGCAGAGAAGCAGAATTCTGCTGTCTGCTTTCAACCTTGCACTAAGTTTTAGGCAGATGTAGCTGAGGTTTGCTTATTATTGCTGTTTGGTTTACACCCATGCCTACGGGTTTAGTTGCACTAGCAGTTCCATGAATGCATCCTATGATACAGTCCTTGTCTTCCTCACGATCCTTCAGTACCTTTGCACAGAACTAACTACATGATAGTTATGGATTGGGAGCAATAGAATGGACTAGGAACCAAGTTCCCCTTTCTGTACCCTATCTGTTGCCTTTAAGTTGTGGTGTAAAACAAGGAGCTAAAAAGTAACCAGTGACGATCGTGTGGGTGCCAGTCCCCTAGGGCAAAGGGACCAGAGGAGTTACAAAGGCTGTTGTCTTTAAAGATCTCCACACTTGCTGTGGTAAAGATGTAGGTGCTCAGCATCAGGTCACTAAGGCAAGTAGGTATGGGCTTTTGTTAGGTGGCTGAGGAAGGAATTTTTCCTGTTAAAATACTGCATGGCCACCAGCTTGGGGGAAATTGCCAGCATAACAAGTTACATGCATGTGATTTAGACTTTCCTCTATGTGACAGTAGCTTAAATACTTCTATGTGCGTATTGTTACAATGATAGAGTACTGAAGGTGTCAGTCCTGCATTTCTAAGCCTTCTGTACCTCCAGATCTTTCTGAACTCTTTGTAACGGCACTTGAATAAGACAGAAAGGACATCATTAGAGCAGATCTCTATTCTTAATTGCATAAAAACCTTGTACATCTACCGTCAAAAACCAGCACTCAGTTCAAACAGTGTCATAACCTCCAGCTTCATTTTTTCTGTGTTATCAGGATAAATTAACCCATTAGCTGCACAGACTCTATTGTGAGTCAGAGGTATATGACTCATATGAATAGAACACATTTCTCTATTCTGTTTTTAATTAACTTGGCCTCCACCCAAATACTCCTTAGAAATGAAAGATACTAGATTAGCTGAAGTCTACAATACATTTTTATGGTTTATGCTATACTTGCATGAGTATTTTTATGAGATAATGCTACAAAAAAAATATTCCCATTAATGCACTAGTTTAAAGGTAAACAACTGGACTGCCTTATTTGACAAGCTGTTAAAGTACCATAATTAATCTGGTTTTCAGTCACTCCATGGAACCTTCCCACCACACCAGGATCTCTAAAGAAAAAAGCACAGAGTAAAATCAGAGAGGGTAAAGGGAAGAGAGAGAAATGTATCTTTCTGTGAACACTTTCTAGTTTGCAGCATGCTCATGTAACACAAGGAGGGTGGGCCAGACTGGTAAATTAATGAGGAAAATTTTCTGTGTGCTACCAACTGTCCGATGACTAATAAGTTAGTTTTCTACTTTGGCAGGTTCCAGGTTACTTGCAGCATGGAGAGGAGAGCTGGAGGATCAAGGTCAGGTTTTAAAAGAGGCTTAGTTTGAGGGGCTCTGAGATGAAAACTTGCATGTGGACCACTACTTTCCAGACTCCACAGTCCCGCAGTTTAATTCCAGTGGCTTAGAGCACTTAATTGAGATCTGCCTTCAGCTCTGCCTGCTGCCAGTTAGTCCTGATAAAGCCCTAACTCACCTCCTCATTGCCTAAGTGGTGACATTAGGACTTTCATCAAGGCAAAGAAATTAAAGGCACGTAGCAGACTCAGCTTCATTTAGCCAGAGCTCCATGTCCAGTTTCAGAGATTTTTCTGTCTTGGAGGGACACTGTCCTCCCACGCAAGAAAGGTAGTGTGGCAATAAATTGTTACAATACATGCTTCCCGATCACTGTAGAAACTTACCCAGTTTGTAGGAAGCAGATTTAGGGCACAGATTTATCTGATGATATTTTGAACAGTTACTCTGCTTTTCAGGAACATGCACATTCCTCAGCTGGAAGTTTTGAGCATTAACTTCTGAAATTCCATTGCTGATAACTAGACCTTGCTTTTTACTTTTCCTTTGCCACAGTGGACTTTTTAATGTCTTCACTGACGGAGATCAGATTACCAAACCTGTCTGGATTCCTATTTTATGCTTATAATAATGTCCTTCCATTGCACAGAACCCCTTTATATAATAATCTATAAGCATTGTAGAGGTGCAGAGGATGACGTGAAGATAGGATACTAACGGGCAAGTTTCTCTGAGTCAGCTCTTCTCCTTTGGGGATATGTGTACAAGGAAACCTGCATCAAACCTCAGGATGTCCTTGTTACCACGTGTGCTCAGAAAAGGAAAAGATCCAGGGCCCTCCTTTGCTTTGCAGGCAAGGAAGTTATGTGTAGTTGC